AAGTTGTGCCAGGGGAACAAAATGGAGGGAGAAATGGGAAAGAAATCATGGCTGTAGGCAAGGAAGTAATTATCTAATAAGATATTATAAAAAGTAAAATAGCTAAAAAAGACAGATAGGCCCAAAAGCTTTATAAACAAAAATAATATCTCTGAGTTTTAGTAACTTATGTACTAAATGAATTGGTTTAACTAAAAAACACCCTTCCCCCAATTTTATGGGTCTATAATATTCAAAATCTTAATAAGTGCTATATTATTCCTATTATATTTTTCTTTCCAATGCTTGGCCTTATAATTTCCTGATACTTTTAATGAATTTAACACTGATCTTAGTTTGGAAAAAAAATTAGAAGTAAGCAAATATATTTTTTTAATGAAATTGCTTATCCACAGTATAAAAAGTTAAGTCAAATGTCTACAACCCCTGCCTGGGTTCATAGACTATTGTCACATTAGTTAAACAAGTTTATATACAACTTTCACATTTGAAATTACTTCAGGACATACGTTATTCACAGTTGAAGTAGCTTTTTGTAATGCATATCAAGATACCAAAGAAAAGACCTAAGATCAAAAACATTTTTTCACACTCTTTGGATAATTTATCTTTTTACAAGAGCGATTATAATTTACTGTTTTACTTATAATGTAGATAAAATTGTCTCTTTCAAGGCAAACTTATACTAGCATGGTTTAATTTCCTCTTAATTGAAAACCCATTTGACTGGATGATTCATGTTTAAAAATATGTAAAGTGAAAATGGCAAGCCATAGTAAGAGATTATCCATCTGACCTGTCATAAATAACCATGGGAATGAAGAAACTTTCATTATAACTTGTCATTATATCTTGTATATTTACCTCACCACATGTCCAGCTGTATCTTCATCTTCATGTAATAGATGGAAAGGATTTTTGTAAATATATTTTTATTGATTTCAGAGAGGAACGGAGAGGAACGGAGAGGGAGAGAGAATGATGAGAGAGAATCATTGATTGGCTGCCTCCTGCATGTCCCCTACTGGGGATCAAGCCCACAACCTGGGCATGTGTCCTTGACCAGTAACAAACACGGGACCCTTTGGTTCGCAGGCCAATGCTCTATCCACTGAGCCAAATTGGCTAGGGGTGGAAAGTATTTTTTAACATACCTCTAATTAACTCAACTGA